AATATGCGTAACTATGTGTAATTTTAGTAAATAGTGCACGCATATTCACGAGATCCAGTGGTCGTATTTGTCCTCTAAAACCGCAGCAAACAGGTGTTTCGGCCCGAGAAAGCGTGAGGACCGTAAATGTACAAAAAAATAAAGACGCTTACCGACCAAAGTTGCTGGTTTATGCGTTTTGCCAAGCATCGAATCACGAAGTGCCTCCCAAACAATCTGTAAAACGGGTAAGCAAAATGCGCCCGTTTTACCGCTACCCGTTTCAGCTGCCTAAAAATAACACCAAATTACTTCAAATTTTAGCGAAAACTTTGAAAAAGCGGCGATTTTCGTGCCCAAACCCATACCACAACTGCCGTAGTGGCGAGATTCAGTTATGGTGCTGAATAGGAATGTGTACGTCTCACTTATCACTATCTTTCCTTATAGAACTAATAAAACCGTCTGCGATAAGATTTTACCTTTCCCTGCATATTATTAACTACTCCTTTTCTATAACATCTTTTTCACTAATAACATGCATTACACGATTAATTTAATCTTAATTTCTACTAAATTCAATCACCAAAATCGTCTTACTGACCAGGTCCAATTGTGGTAATGGTAAGAAATGTATACGACTTAATGGACCGGAATATTGCTTATCATTATAATTTTCTAATTCTTATTTCCTACCTTCTTTTTTTTTTTTTGATTCTTCTATTCAATTCCATCCTTCTTATTATAACTTTCTGCCAATGAACCGAAACATTCCTGTTCATCTGGTTAATTTTTACTATATTTTTTAATGGATCCGAATATTTCTTATCATTATAATAATAATAACTTAATGGACCGGAATATTTCTTATCATTATAATAATTTTCTAGTCCTCATTTCTTACCTTCTTTTTTTTTTAATTTTCTAATCCTCATTTCTTAGCTTCTTTTTTTGATTCTTCTGTTAATACACTCCCTTATTATAACTTTTTATTAATGAACCGAAACATTCCTGTCCATTTGATTAATTTTTAATATATTTTTTAATGGATTGGAATATCAGTTTTTTTTTAATATATTCTAATGAATTTTTTTAATATTTTATTTCGTTTTATAAAAAATTATCGAAAATTTTACTAGTTAAAATTAATATAGATAACCATAAAAAACAAACCATAAGCACATCACCGCCGCCCAAAATCGCTGGGATTGCTTCCGATTGAATATCCGTGGGCAACCTGAAATTTAAGCGTTAGCACATTCGGCATACAGGAAACAACGAAGGGGGATTTTCTCGAAGATCAAAGATCGAGGGGAAAAAAGCACAGAAAATCACTTACGTCCACTCCATCTCGTCCACTGCTTTGCCCAGTTCGGGTAGCATCCCGAGCTCCTCGAACGCTGTCATCGTGATCGCTGAAAAAGGCACATAAATTTACCGCACCAAACGCAACGTGGGATGTAAAGTGGCGCAAAAATTGTACAGAAAAATGAGGGGACGAATATGGGGGAGGGGGAAGGAGAAATTGCAAAAATTTGACTTTTGAAAAGATGCTGAATTTATCTTGGACGACACGGAGAAGTGGAAAAAAAGGCCAGAAATGCGTAAAAGAGAAGGGATGGAGCAGAAGGAGAGGGATTGGAGGGGGAGGGATTGGAGTAAGAAAGAGCATAAGGGTATAAAAAAGCCAGGAAAAAG